TGGAGCACCGGGGTACGCCGCGAGCACCTACCCACAGCACAGCCACAGTGTGCATCCTCGCACGCGCGCACACTACCACACACACACGCGCGCGCGGCGAGCACCGTACGCACAACACACCACACTACACGCGCGCACGCCGAGCACCTACCACACTGTGGCGGGCACCACCAGCGCGCGCACCTAACGACCACCACACACTACGCGAGCACGCCTACGCACACACACACACACACACCACGCGCGAAGCCCCACGCGGCCACCAAACACAACGCCCGGGCGCGCACCTCCGCACGACACACACGCGCGAGCAACCTACCGCACACGACAGCCAGGCCGACACAGCGCGCGCCGAGCACTCTACGCACACACACGCCGCACGCGAGCGCATTACCAACACACGCGCGCGCCGCGCACACCACACACAACACACACACACACACACACAAGCACAGCAACCAATATATATATATTATTTATTTATTTATTTATCATATAATATCCACACAGCGGCGCCTACTCACGTTCAATGACGTTCACGCAATGTAACTCCTGTGCATACGCAAGCTGGGGACACCTGCACCGCAACGCACTCACGTACACACACGCGTAGACACCAGCACACACATCGGAGTTTGCACCACGCCACATGTGTGGCCGCAATGACACTTCTGATAGACGCCAGTCAAGGCGACGCACCAACACGCGCAATGTACTGCGATCAAAAAGGATGCGGTGTTACGATCGTGCGTCGCACGCACAGCGTTTTCCCCGCGAGTAAATCAAACATTAATTGGCTACACCGTCCGCGATCCTACGACTGGATAACTACGCGCTCGCACAGAAAAGCTGCTGAATCGCTGCATTCGCTCGTCAGCCGTCAAGACAGCGGTCGTGCGAAGTTTTTACGTTGCCATACCAGGTGGTACATTCTACAAAATTTAAATTTGAAACAACGAGCTTGGTTTCATCTACGGCGGACGAGATATCACCGCGTTCGGTGGTTTTTTTCAACGGGCCGTTTTCTGCTTCTGCAGCTGATCTTTCCCGTACGTGAATTGTTTGGGTTGTTTGTTTTTTAAAATCGTATACGGGGTTCTATAACCTCAAACAGCTACGACCACGCTAGCGCACGCCTATATATTTTTATATACAACAACTATGGGATTGAAGAAAATATTGGCGTATCCGAATACAGTAGAATACCGATGTGCATGGAATATACCAGAGCAAGTATCTCGCGACCGGGTCACCTGGTTGTTACGAATATGTGGCAGCGAAGCTGAAGTAGGTCGGCACCGTACATAGTCATAGATGTACGCGGGCATGCAGCTGTGCTCCTGCCGGCCACCGGGGTGTGACTGCCGAGACAGGAATTTCTTTCTTGATGTCATCGGGTCACTGCTCAATCGCAGCCTTTACTGTCTCACCCGCGTCATCCGGACGCCGTAACCGACTGCAGCCAACGGAGAGCAAGCAGCGCGAGTACGCGCCCGCGAGGCAACACGTAGTCTTGCGTGCTAGATGTTCGCGCGCTCGGGCAAGTCGTGCGAGAATAGAGATCGGTGTCGCGACGTGAGTGACAGTCAACGGTAGTAGCAGATGGTTAGAGGGAAAAACCGCGGTGGGCGTGCATGCGCGTGTGCGTGCTTGCGCGTGTGCGTGCTTGTGTCCGTCCGAGTTTCCCTATGCTCGTGCGTACGCGTATGCGCCCGTGTGGTCCAGAATTTGTGTGCGAGAGCGTTAGGCATGCGTGCGCGTGCGCGTGCGTGGTTGAGTCAGTGCGCGTGTGGGAGTCTACGAGTGAGCAAGCACGTAATCACTCCTGAAGAAACACTGTTTGCTAATAATATTCTTTTGTAAACGAATAAGTACCTCAGCAATAACAGCGGCAGCCGCAGACAGCAGCAATAGCACTGGACCGTCGTGAGCGCGCGTGTGCGTGCGCGCGCGCGTGCGGGCGCGGTGTGTGCGGCGCGCGCCGTATGCGGGGGGTGTGTGCGTGCGCGCGCGCGTGCGGGGAGTGTGTGCATGCGTGGGGGTGTGGGAATGTGCGTACGTGCGGGTGGCGCGTGCGTGGGGCGTGCGGGTGTGTGTGCGTGCGTGGGGCGTAGCCGGGGCGCTGTGTGCGTGCGTGGGAGCAGTGCGGGAGGTGTGCGTGCGCTCGCGTGGTGGAGAGGGCGGTGCGTGCGAGGTGTGCGCGTACGTTGATGGGCCGTGCGGCGTCGTGAATGCGTGCGGGGGGCGCTGCGGGGGGGGGGGGGGGTATGCGTCGCGCAGCGTGGCGGGTGTTGTGCATGCGTGCACGTGGTGTGCGCGTGCGCGTGGGGGGCGTGCGCGGTGTGTGCGTGCGTGCGTGAGGGCGTGCGGCGGGTGTGTGGGCCGTAGCGTGGCCGGTACGGGGTGTGTGTGCGTCGCGTGGGGGTGTGCGGGGTGTGTTGTGCGTGCGTGTGAGCGTGCGGAGGTATGCGTCGCGCGCGGTGTGGGGAGGGTGCGTGCGTGCGGGTGTGCGCGTGCGTGGGCGGTGCGGCGTGTGTGCGTGCGTGCTGGGGGCGTGCGGAGGTGGGCGTGCTGATAAGCTGTGCGTGGGGGCGTGCGAGAGGTGTGCGTGCGCGCGCGTGTGGGGAGGGTGCGTGCGTGCGGGTGTGATGATGTGCGTGTGTACGTGCGTGCGGTGTGCGTGCGTGTGTGGTGGCGTGCTGTGGTGATGAATGTGCGTGTGTTGCGTGCGTGTGTGGTGAT